ACAGCACAAATGCGATGAAGCATGTCTCTAACCTCATCCACATCGTTTGATTGTAACTCCACTATTACAGGTAATGGAGGCTCATCACGAGGGGGCTTCCACTTTGGAAGAACAATATCCCTCTCATCTTCAATAATCATGTTATGCATTATCAAACATGCCTTCATAAATATACCAAGCTGTGCCTTGTTCCAGGTACGTGCTGGTCTTGCAACCATGGCAAATCTAGCCTGCAAAACACCAAATGCACGCTCAACATCTTTTCTGACAGCTTCTTGGGCTTTGGCAAACACTTTCTTCTTTCGCGTCCCTGGAAATCTCTCTGTTTGAATAAGAGTAGCCCACTGTGGGTAGATACCATCAGAAAGATAGTATCCCATATTATAATGATTCCCATTCACCTGGTAGTTGCAAGGAGGCGATCTGCCATTTACCATATCATCAAAAACATGAGAGTTTTCTAAGACATTGAGATCGTTGCAACTACCTGCCGTTCCAAAAAAGGCGTGCCATATCCAAAGCTCATGATCTGCAACAGCTTCCAAAATAACAGTAGCTTTCTTATGGTGTCCCATATGTTGCCCATGTTCTGCTGTAGGACAGTTCTTCCAAATCCAATGCATACAATCAATGGATCCCAACATACCTGGAAACCCTCGTTGAGCTCCTTTAGCAAGCAGACGTTCAACATCAGCTGGAGTGGGTGTCCTCAAATACTCGTTCTCAAAAATGTCGACAACAGTTTGAGAAAAATGCTTCAGAGAATTGAGTGCAGTTTGCTCACCTATGTTGATTGACTCATCAAGAGAATCAGCTGGACACCCATAAGAGAGAAGGCGAAGTGCACATGTCGCTTTAATTAGGCCAGAAGGTCCAGGAACACCTAGCGCATCGTATTTCTGGTGAAAATAGTCATTCTTTTCAACAACTGCGTTATACAGCTTCAAAAAAACATTCTGCCTCATACGATAACGACGTCGAAAAAGCTTTGCACCAAAAACAGGTTGGGCTGCAAAATAATGGTTGATAAGCATGTTGTGTGATTGAACATGGTCACGCCTGTTAGCTGCTCGACCAAATTTAGAACCTCCCCATCTTGGTATGTTTTCTACATTTTCTTCTTCTTCCAAAGAAGCCGAAATAGCTGGAAG